ACACACACACACACACACACACACACACACACACACACACGCAGACACAGACAAAAGCACTCATCTGAGTTAACGGTGTGGGTAAAGGTGCAGGGTGGTGACAGACTGGGGCTCTGGGGGACCGGCAAGCAGGTCTCCCCAGAGGTATGTTTACTCAAAGTCCCATGCTCACTGACTCAGAAGGCCCAGACTTCCTCCCCTTCTTTCCTTCATTCCTTTAACAAACCTGTTTCCAGGTGCTCTGTGCCAAGCACTGTGGATAAAGATACATAAGAAGCACCTCTGACCTTGACTGCCCTCACACCTGCCCCTCCCTTCTCAAGCTGACTTTCGCTTCCTGGCCCAGCACTCCTCAAGCCCTACAGGATTCGACCCCAGATCCTTTCTCCCCACACACAGCCTGAGGTCCCTACCAACCTGGGAAAGGGGAAGTGCGCAAGGCCTAGAATTTCCCTTTGGGCCATTACAGATGAAGGTGCAGAACAGAAACCTGGGGACACAATGTGATAGGAAGAGATGGGAGGTTTGCAGTCACAGATTGAGGTTCAGATCCATGGATTTATAGCATGACCTTGAGAAAGTTATTCGAGTTCTTTGGGCCTCAATTTCTGCATCTGTAAAATGGAAATATTGATACTACTTCCAAGTGTAGAATAACAGGCCCACTGTAAATATTGGTTCCCTTAAGATATTCTCCTTGGGTAGGGCTGTCCTGATGAGGTAGAGGTGGATGGCTACTTTTTATTGGATCCTCAAGAGAAAGGATGAATAAGCAAGTACTTACTAGGATCTCAGGGTGTGGGCATTATTCTTTGGGGGGGTCAGTTGGGGAATCTGAAACCCTCTTCCTACTGTACCTGAGACTGAAAAGCAGACCTGATCTTAGGATTCCAGGACTGGGTGTGGCATCAATGCATTTCTTTCCCAGTAAACCCTTCATCAGACCTGTTCCCCCCAACACACACACACAAATTCAGGCTATAACTACTTTAGGGAATGATGGAGGGTTTGATCTTAGAGCCCACTCCCATCCACACCTCTGCAGAGACCCTGGACTGTTCACCTCCCATCTAACCCACCCAATAGTCTTACCCCTACCTTCCTGAGAGGTGGGGGTAGAGATCTGAGCCAATAACAAAGGGAAGATGTGCTTTCTCTAGGGGAGGGGAGGTGGAGAAGGGGAAAACATCAGAAAAACACAGGACTGGCTCTAAGGCGAGGAGATGCTTCAGGAAGCAGCAAAGGGGAGCTGGGTCTCCCGATGGTAGGGAAGTAGCCCCCTGCACTCTGCGGAGACTCGGCCGCTGGCCTGGCCAGGCCACACCCAGCCATCCTGATGCAGGGGAGAGGAGGGGCTGCGGGGAAGAGGATGAAGGATGAGCGGCGGGGAGGGGGCGCAGAGGGACAGGCAGAGACGACGGCTCTGCGTGGGGGAAAGATTCAGTCACCTGCCCCCTCCCCGAATTCCCTCCTGGGTGACACTCACCCCAATAACGACGCTGTCGTCCCCTTGGAAAATGGGGATGAACTTGTCTCCCCGCAGAATCTCAGCCTGGTTCAGGGGCCGGAATCGGCAGAGCACCTTGATGCTACATTCGTTGTTGGTCTCCGCCATGGTCGTCGCCGGCGTGGGGCTGGGACACTTCTTGGTTGCAGGGGTGGTGTGTGCTCCAGAGGAGGGGGCGCTCAGCTGAGGCCGAGGCGAGACAGGTGCTCGGTCTCTGGAGGCAGAGTTGAGGGCGTCCGGGCGAAGCCTGGGGAGCAGGGCCGGGGCGCGCTGTCTCTCTCCTGCGGCAGCGGGATGCGGGCGACCTGGGCGTCTGGTCCTCTCCGGCGCTCTGCCTCTCCGCCCCTCGCGCTGCAGCGCCGCGCTGCGGGCCTGGGCGGGGCCGCGATGGAGGAGCGGGGGCGGGGCTCCCTCCGCTGGGGGCGCTGGCTCGACGTCGACCCCCGAAGGGTGGGACCTCACCGCCCCTCTCCTCCCTCCCTCACCCCTAACGTTGGGAGATAACCTTACCCTAGACCCTTCCCCACCCAACTCACTCCCTGCATCCCACCCCCACACCCCCGACCTGTTTGTCCCTCCCTCAGACTCCACCCCCTGGAAGGGACAAGGGGACTGAGATGGGCCTGTCGCCTGTGTAGGGAAAAGGTTCAGCAGATCTCCCACTCACTTTATTCCAGGGCATCCCTCAACCCGTCACAGTCCTCTCTCCAAACTGGGGTCACACTTCTCATTCTCCCCTTACCGCGTCCCACATCCCACACGCACGGAAGCTGGACTCCTAACCCACTCAGCCTTCTGGGGGACCGCTGCCTGTAGTCCTATGGAGGTGGGTGTCAGATGAGTGTCAGGGAGGTTCTGGCTACTCCCTTCCCCTGCCTGCCACATCCAAAGGTGTACTCTCCTGTCTCCCAAAGATACACACCAGGTCCCCAGTTTCAGGGAAGACAAACTCCCATTCTGGGTTATGGGAATTCAAAACCAGACACAATTCTTATTTTCGTGTCTTCAGTTGAGGATGGGATGAAGGTGGGCAGGAAACATTTTTGCAATAGAAAGGGAGTCAGAAAGCAGTGGAGGAGGGGCAATGATGGAGATGCCTAAGGCCAGAGAGATTTTGAAATCTAAGGCAAACACCTGCATTTGGGTTTCAGGCAAGTTCAGTGTGTGTGTTTCTTCCTGTCTCAGTAACCATTGGAGGATAGAGTCCCAATACCTCAGCCCCTGCTCCCACCCAACACTCCCAAAAAAAAAGATGTGGGGGAAGAAAAACAAAAGAAGTGCCAAGCCCAGAGATTCCTTGTCCTTCCTCCCTTTGGGTCAGACTCCTGCTGCAGCCCCTGGAAAGAACCACCAAGAAGCTGGCCAAATTGATTTTTCTCCAAGTCACAGGCCTCTGCTGACCAACAGAGTTGGACTGCAGGAGTTGAGGTTCTAGGCCAAGGGGAAGGGCGGGGTGGATGGGAGAAGGGAGGAGGAGAGGAAAGTTCTGCTCAGCAATTGTCTGGTGAGTGTTTAAGGTCACTTAGACACTATGGGACAAAAGTAAGACGCTGATAGCCTGGCCAGACAAGACCTAACTACTCAGAACTCAGCTGAGCGGGGTTTCCCACATTGGGGCTACACCTCTAACCCACCTTGAGTCTTAAGGGAACTGAAAGAAAAGAGTCCAACATAAGGAACAGGATAGGAAAGCGGTAGGACTATGGAGAAAGGGATAGAGGCTTGGGGAGGAGCCTGGAGAAAGAAAATGAGTTCCAAACTCAAGAACTCAATAGTCACTTGGTTTGGCACCATTTCTAAGTGTTGCAGCATTCTGCAAGCTCAGGAAATATCCTGGGAAACATCCCATCTTTGGGCCCCCAGGGCCTCCAAGGTCGCATCTGTAGTAAAGGAGTTTCAAAATGCCAGTCCTTGGAGTGTCACCGGTCAGAGACAAAAGTTCACTGCGTATGCCCCACCTCCAAAAGAACAATGTGGTGAGGTTTTTTGGTTTTTTGGTTTTTTGGTTTTTTATAAAGCTAGATTTGATAAGTTTCAAAGGACTGTCTTTTATTCTGAGTGTGTCCTTCCTGCTTTTCTACCAAGTAATGATGGTGATAGAAAGTAACAATGCTATGCTATGTCTGTCCTCAAGATTTGTAGTTGTTTTAATTTTATTGAATCATGAAATTTAAAAGTCTGAGAACGGGAAGTAAGGATGGTGAATGGGTACAAAAAAATAGAAAGTATAATAAGACCTACTATTTGATAACACAATAGGGTGACTATAGTCAGGAATAACTTAATTGTACATTTTTAAATAACTTAAGGGTGTAATTAGATTATTTGTATCTTAAAAGATAAATGCTTGAGAGGATGGATACCCTCTTCTCCATGATATGGTCATTTCACATTGCACACTTGTATCAAAATATCTCATGTGTCCCATAAATACATACATCTACTGTGTATCCACAAAATTTTAAAAATTTTTAAATTTAAAAATAAATAAAAGTCTGAGAACTATAAACCAAATGGTTAAGAGCACAGAGAGTGTTCAGACAGATGTGGAGACACCGCTTACCTATTTATGAATTTCAGATAGGATTGCCAGATTTGAAAAACAAAAAACAAAAACAGGATGCTCAGCTTAATTTGAATTTCAGGGCCAGGCTCAGAGGCTCATGCCTGTAATCCCAGCCCTTTGAGAGGCTGAGGCGAGCGGATCATCTGAGGTCAGGAGTTCAAGACCAGCCTGGCTAACATGGTGAAACTCCATCTCTAAATAAATAAATAAGAAAAAATTTTGAATTTCAGATACATAATTTTTTGTGTTAGTGTACACACACATACCACACCACACACACCTACTTCTTATCTGAAATTCAAATGATCTGAAAACCCTTACTTGAGAAGATTGCTTAACTTTTTCATTCCTAACATACAGTAAGCATTTACTAAATTTTACTTATTGTTATTTTTATTTTATTTTTATAAGAAACAGTATCAAGCAAAGTTCTTGTTTTTGAAACCCTGGCTGTGTCACAATATGACTAGCTGTATGATTTAATCTAGTCATTTAATTCCTTGGAGCCCAAAACAGGAATTATAAATGTCCTTTCACTGACTTGGTGTAAAAGTGAGAGAAAACGCTGGATGAAATAGCTCCCCAAGGTTCGTTATTGTCGCTCCACACCCAAGCCCCGGTACACCAAAACTACACATCCCACAATCCTGGGCGGCGTCCCCTGGCCATTACCTCATTCCCTGGCCTCTTTCTCCCCAATCCTGGTCTCTCCAGGGGTGTGGCAGCGAGGCTGTTCTCGCGACTTTTGCTCTACCCTTCTGCTGTGCTACTCTTGTCGCGAGACTTCCTGCTCATCTGCCGCTCCCTTTGCCGCCGCCTTGGCCGGGGACCTGAACCCAGCCTCTCCCCTACCCGAACACCGTCCCCGGCTCTACTGAGGCCCCGGTCCCCCAGCCCCGTCTCGCCGCCGCCATGGCGGACCCTAAATACGCCGACCTTCCCGGCATTGTGAGTACAGGGCCGGCCCCGGCTCCCCAAGACCGCGCCCCCGACTTCCCAAGGACCCCCAACAGAAACCAGCCCGCGACCCCTTCCGCCTGCTGCCCATCTTCTGCCCAAGGTGTCCCGCCGCTCGCTCTCCGACCGGCCGCAGCACCCTCCGAACTCTTCTGACCGGATTGGGCTGGGCCGCCGCGCGGCGCACCAGGCCACCTCTCCGGCAGGCGCCGGTAGCTCGGCCCAGATATCTTCTCCGGGCACTGACCGCTTGTGCCCGAGTGTTTCCACCATCCGTGTCAGTGCCGCCCGTGCCCCCCAAAACCTCTCCATAAGACCCCTACATCCCTACCCCAGACACACACACCAGGCCACTTAGTGATGGCCTTCATCCTGCCAAGGAAGAGGTTACTGTGGCAGAACCGTCTTGTGCCAGATAGGGAGCTCTATCCTTGGGGGAACCTGTGCCCTCGCCCCTCCATCATGACAATCCTGGCGTGTACCTTCTTTCCTTTTGCACTGCCCTGCTTCTCAAGGTGGGGGTTGGGACGCAGGACCTTGGGTATTAAGGTTCTGAGTCACTCTCAATCCTTGTGGCAGGGAAGTGGTGTACTGGGCCTAATTGGAGAATAGCCCTCACCTTCGGCAATACTGATTGCCAGGGACCTGCCCGCCTCTAGATTTAGGGTAACATCGTTGTTATCACTTACAGTCACTGTTTACCGTCAGGTCCCAACTGTCTCCTCTGTTATCCCTACCCGTTGAGGCAGGGGAACTGACATACTGTTGACTCACGGGGCGGGTGGAGGAGAAAGGACAGAACCCTGGCATCACACCCTGTCTTCTCCGTTAGCTTATTCAAATGGAGTGGGGTAAGGGGTGTTGTTGGATGCTGGGTAGTGAGATTGGGTGGTCACTGCTTCTACCTGCAGGCCAGGAATGAGCCAGATGTTTATGAAACCAGCGACCTACCTGAGGATGATCAAGCGGAGTTCGATGCGGTAAGAATATGTGCTGCCACAGGACTCCTCTGGACTCTGACCTTTCTCCCCTAGACAGGTCCTTCCCTTTCTCTGGGGAGCTACAGCAATAAGCGGGTATGCCAACCCCAGCCTGAGTGGTATATAGTTGCAGGGCTTGCAGAGGCCATGCTGGGCTTGCAGCCACCAGTAACAGCAGGGGGGAGAGTCAAGTGGAATTACAGCGAACAACATTTGTTTGCAATGCCCTGATCCTTGGGCCTTTTAAATAAAATTAAAATATCTCAAAACAGGTTTGGGGGCTGGTGACTTAGGCCGCTGGGCTTTAATCCATGGAAATGAATCATAAAGCCTCAGCACTTTATTAATAAACTGCCTGAGATTAGGAAGTAGGCTTTACTAGTTGCTACCAAGAACTAAACTCTGAAATATATATGGAGAAATACTTTTTAATTATGAATATCCAGTATCCATTTGGCAAGGAATTAAGAAAGTGATTTCAAGACTTTAGAGCAAAACAAATTTGAGGAAGAATAATGTAAATATTTCATGTCAGCGAAGGTGAGACTGGTTGCATTTTTAGATCCAAGAACTCTGTGGATGGAGTAATTAGGTGTGGACATATTTCAACTGTGAGGGGAAACACTTAGTATGGTTTATTGATGTGTTCATTCTGTGTTTGTTTGTTTTTGTGCAATGCAGAGAAAGAAATGTCGATGCCCCCAGTGAGCCCCAGACTAATGGAGAGTTAGGATACATATAGGAAACATATGGAAGGAAACAAACCAAAATTGAGTGAATGGAAATCAACATAGTAAAAACTGTGTTTAAGTGCCAAGAGGGACAGAGATCTACTAGCATGTCTTATAGCATGTGTTTTCGGTTCTATTATTTCTGAAGAGAGCTGGGCTGGGATCACATTGATGATGTGAGTTCTCAGTAAAGGTGTGTCCAAGAGTCATTGCAATATGCAAGCTCAGTATGCTTGTCTGTAAGTCCTGTGGCTATGTCTGTGGGGCTGGTTAGTTCTGGGGGATGCTGACTGCTGGCTTACAATGTATGGCTTGGCGTACTCACTTATTTCTTATTTGACTCCTCTATGTGGAAGTGGTTCTTACATTGTGGGAAACACCTTCCCTGTCCCTTCTCCCAATGGTGTGATCCTTGTGGCTTCCGTATTTGCTGGCATGCCAATCTATCCCCCAAGCTTGAATATCTTGTAGATAATGCAGCTGATGTTGCTCAAGGACCTGGGTGCGCACCTGTCACTCCAAGAGGTATCTCACAGGAAGGTGTCTCTGTCCTCACAGAATAGGAGTGTATACAGTTGGTTCTCTGTATTTGTGGGTTCCAAACCCACGGATTCAACCAACCATTAATGGAAAATATTTTTTTAAAAATAAAAAATAGGCTGGGCATTGTGGCTCATGCCTGTAATCTCAGCACTTTGGGAGGCCAAGGCAAGTGGATCATTTCAGGTCGGGAGTTCAAGACCAGACTGGCCAACATGGTGAGACCCCATCTCTACTAAAAGAATATAAAAATTTGCCAGGTGTGGTGGCAAGCGCCTATAGTCTCAGCTACTAGGGAGGCTGAGGCAGAAGAATCGCTTGAACCCAGGAGGAGGAGGTTGCAGTGAGCCGAGATTGCGCCACTGCACCCCAGCCTGGGTGACAGAGCAAGACTCTGCCTCAGGAAAAAAAAAAACAAAAAACCCAGTACAACAATAAAAAAAAAAAAAATTTTAACACAATATAACAACTGTTTACATAACATTTATGTTGTTGTACTAGGTATTTTAAGTAATTTAGAGATGATTTAAAGTATACAGGAGGATGTGTGTAGCTATATGCAGATACTGTGCCAATTTATATAAAAGATGTGAACATGTACAGATTTTGATATCAAGGGAGGCCCTGGAACCAGTCGCCTGCAGTTGCTAAGGGGCAGCTGTATGCTGAGAACTTTACTGTAATACCACAGTTCAGACTGTTCAACTTAGGCCTAAGGTTTCTACCCTTTGTGGTGAGATAACGCATAGAGGAACTCTATCGTTTTGTCACTGACTGTGATACAATGGGTAGTTTCATAGTAATCCCCTTTCTAAACAAATATATATTGTCATTCCATTTATTGATTGATTGATTGAGACAGAGTCTCACTTTGTTGCCCAGGCTGGGGTGCAGTGGCATGATCTCAGCTCACTGCAACCTCTGCCTCCCAGGTTCAAGCGATTCTCCTGCCGCAGCCTCCCCAGTAGCTGGGACTACAGGTGTGTGCCACCATACCCGGCTAATTTTTTGTTTTTTAGTAGAGAGGGGATTTCACCATGTTGGCCAGGATGGTCTCAATCTCCTGACCTCGTGATCTGCCCGCCTTGGCCTCCCAAAGTTCTGGGATTACAGGCGAGAGCCGCCATGTCCAACAGGATATCTCTTAATAAAAAAGAGATGATACCCATTCCAGGTGCGGAAGAACCTGAATGGGCAGCTCTGATTGGCTGTTTCTCCCCCAGAGCCTGAACAGCCTATTTTAGTAGCATCTAGTGGGGTGGCTGATGGGGAGAAGATACCGTGAGTGTTCATTTCCTGTGGCATGTTGCCCAGGGTGCCAGTATAGAAGTACATAGGAGGCTAGGTGTGGTGGCTGCTTCAGGAGTCTTAAGAGCCGACGCCGGGTGCGGTGGCTCAAGCCTGTAATCTCAGCACTTTGGGAGGCCGAGGCGGGTGGATCACGAGGTCAAGAGATCGAGACCATCCTGGTCAACATGGCGAAACCCCGTCTCTACTAAAAATACAAAAAATTAGCTGGGCATGGTGG